ATATATAACAAAAACATTTAACTGCTTCAAGCATGAATTTTTCAGCAGTTTGAGGCTCTAATTTAACTGCTTCAAGCATGTATTTTTCAGCAGTTTGAGGCTCTAATTCAGGGAACCAAGAAAAAAAAAACAAACAAGAAAATTTCATTAAAAACATACTAAGTCTGTAGCAAGTACAGATGGTTTCTAATGACCTGCAAAAAGAAAAAGAAAGAAACTTTTCAATTCATTCTCCAACCTTCTACCCATTTCTCATATGAGTTTCTTCTTTTCTATCCATGCAACCAAACTATAGATGATAGCTTGTTTGTCTCCACTTTAACAAAAGTTTTGACTTGATGGATTTAATAAGGTGGTCGAGGTTTTCTTATAAACTTTGGGATGCCGGATGTTCTTTGAGTTTTGAAGTTTGTAAGGGCCATGTTCCCAATATTATATCTTAGTATCAGCAAAAGAATCATTTCATAAAGATACCATCCAGCGACCATAACCTGCATATCCCAAGTATTCAACCTTTCTTGTAATTTGACATGAAAAGCTGAAATTATAATATTTACTCCTAGATTCAATCATATGCCAATGAATTTCTCTTTCTCTCTTGCGCTGAGACATTTCATTAAAGCCGAACACTATCTGTACACAATATGAGAGAGCTCTATATGTATTATGATCTAACCTCTATTATAATTTCAAATTTCTGCAGAAAACTAAAAGCACAATCCAGTAAAATTAACAAATAAATATACAACCACCATAACACACAGACGCACATGCGCCGCCGAAGACGCACATGCTCCCCCGAACACACACTCACACAAACATGCATATGTGCGCATGCGCACACACGCAGAGAAATATATATTAGTGGTATGATGGAGCAGTGTGAGCCCAAAGGCCCAGATTGAAACTCTCCTTGAAGAAGAATTTGTGGTTTTTGCCAGGATATTCACAACACAAGAAATTACTTTGCCTAATCGATTGAAGAGTTTGGTTCTTGCTCTTATTTCCCAACAGTTTAACAAATATTCTGAACTTCAGTATTTCCGAGTTTATGGGCTACCATATAAGACAGGGATTTTGACTATGCTGAAATTATAATCTCATTAGAAGACTTAAAATTGAGAAGAACTCACCTTCGCCAGAATTAGCCATGACACTGTTTGCCTGAGCCTTCATTCTTGCATATCAATCAGCCACATTTACCATTGATTAGTCGAAAAGGTGTATTTCTCTGCAAAGCAAATGTACTCACCCACTTCCTTGATAACTTATTCTGTAGTTTCAATAAATTCTTGACTATAAGCCACTTATTACTTAGAAAGAAGCTTTCCTCCCTAACGAGTTTTCCTCCCTCTCCTGAATCCTCAATTCTGCAACTTTTACCACTAAAAAATCAGTTTCTTGAGCTCCTTTGAGCCACCTCCACCATTAAAACCACAAAAATAGAATAAATCAAGAACCTTCAAGACATTCAGACGACTGAAATGTTAAGAACAAAGCTCCTTTTCCAAAGCTTGTGCTTTCAATCTATTGAATAGTAACGGCTTCTCAAGCTCAGTCTAGCTTTTAAACAAGATTCTAGCTCACCAACCAGAATTAGGGCAAAATGAAACATGCAAGCCTTCTTCTCATCAGCCTTTGCCACTTTCCCTATAAGAATCATCACACAAAAAAGCTGTTGCCCACAGTAAATAAAGTTAATGCAGAATAGCCAAGACCCTGCAACTCCAGAGACATTACGCATATCCTCTACAGCTCCTCAGTTACCTGAATTCTCCATTTTCTCAGCTCATTCACCGAATTCTCGGAGTCAGACTCAAGCTTTCCCTCTCTAATTTCTATGGGAAACCACTCCTCTGCAACCAAATAGAGAGCAAAAACAATAGAAGACCGTAATTTTCAGGCTCAAATTCGATTCTCGAGCGAATTAAGCCATGTGCGTATCAGAGAAGCACATCACTGGAAAAGAAAGAAGTATGGAGGGGAAAAGAGGTCCGTTTTCGACTGAATATTACGAGCTCTGCAACTTCCGGCGAAAATTCCGGCCGTGAAACTGACGGAAAAGCGAATATCGTCGCCGGAAAACCTGAGACCCTCAGCCTTGTATTATGAGCCGACACGACGCCTTTTAAAAACGGAGGTTGCCTCGCTCATTACAGACAAATTCGGCCCAAATGAACCTAAATTCCATCTAAATTTAAAAATCCCCGAACTCTATTTTTTCGGATTAAAAAATGCCGAAAATTCCCGTTATTCTGCCGAAAAACCTGGACCCTCTCACATGCATTCCTGCTTTGTTACATAAATATTAAAAATAATTAACATTGTTTTTTGAAGCAATCAACTAATAAAAAATGTCATAAATAATTAATATGGGGAAAATGACTGGACTTAACCAATCTTTTCTTTAAACATCTTAAATACCCAAAATATCCCCATTTATCCTACCCAAAAAATCCATTATATATTCCATAGTTTTCTATATAATTATGGTGTGTTTGGGAAATGATTTGAAAATGTGGTGTCTTGTATTTTGTGTTCATCATACTCCTTTGGTGTAAAACATTTTTTTTTTTAAAAAAATCATATTTCAAAAGAAGATCCCGACTCTTTTTTTCTTGTTCTTTTTAAATGTCGAGATAGATATTCGAAAAAACAAACAAACCAAGGGCCGGTTTCGAGAAACTGGTAAACCGGCTGGCTCAACTAGTCTAACCAGTAAGTCCCAGCCTATCAAAAAGTATTAAAGACATTTAAAAATACAAAAACATATAAAAAATATGAAAAGTATATTTAAAGCACGATTAAACAAAATGAAGTTGAAAATTAATATAAAAAAAAATTTGGATTTTAAGAAATCAATTTGTACTCAAGCGTGTTTCTAAAAGTTTTCAAAAAAGATGAAAAAATATAAATATAAGTACCCATGGCCAAAAACACTTTCAATCTTTGTCAAAATGATAAAAAACACATTTAAAAACGCATTACAAATAAATCCCCTATTTTTTTGTGTGTGTGTATATATATATATATATATATATTTCTTTTAAGATACCCAAACAGATCACCAAAACATGCCAAAATCAGAACTGGCCAATGCCTAGTTCCGATCTAACCGGCTAGTTTCGAGTTGAACCGGTCGATATTACGAACACAAACACAAGTCGGGATTACCATTTAGAATTCAAATTTACAGGTTTTCAACTTTCAAAAAAGTTACACAACTCTTTAAACAAAGGATAATTATTTGGAAGAAGAATATTTGGGGGCATTTGCAAACTAAGCTTGCGGGAGCAAAGTCTTATATAGAGGAGTTGGATAACCTTAAGTTTACATGAGGCTTTCTAACACGTGATCAATTTAGAGATAAAAGCTTATGGGTGGCCACATACAAACAACTGTTTAATCCGAAAGAAAGTCATTGGAGACAAGAATCTTGTGTGAAATGGATCAAGGAAAGGATAGAAACACGAGATTCTTTCACTCTATTGTTGATGCAAGAAAAAGAGGCAATTCAATCTAAAGTCTCCATATAGAAGGCATAGAATGTGATAACATTTCAGATGTTGAAAGGGCTCTAATTGATCATTTTAAAAATGCATTTGTGGCTGAAAGTGGGACTCATCTCTCCATTCGTGATCTACTTTTTTCTAGACTATCGTTAGTATAAGCTCAATGGTCGGAAATAAAATTTGAAGAACAAGAAATCAAATATGTTGTTTTCAGCTTAGGCAGAGATAAGGCTCCTGGCCCAGATGGTACCCAATGACTTTCTTTCAAATTTTTTGGGATATTTTGAAAAATGATATTGTCGAATTATTTGAGGAATTTTATTGGAGAGGTACAATTAATATTGCAATGAACTCCACTTTCATTGCTTTAATCCCAAAGAAAAATGTCATTGAGGAGATCAAAAATATTCGGCCTATTAGTCTCATTGGTAGCCATTACAAAATCATAGCTAAGATCTTGGCTAATAGATTGCGTCATGTGATTCATTTGGTAATTAAAGGGCCACAATCAGCATTTTTGAAGGATAGACAAATCATAAATAGTATTTTGGTTGCCCAAACATGTGTTCACTCAAGAATCAAGGAAGGCAAACCGGGTCTTACCTGTAAGCTAGATTTTGAAAAGGCTTATGATAAGGTTGACTGGGGGGTTCTCCAAAATATCATGACTAAAATGGGTTTCCAATCAAGGTGGAGATTGTGGATTGATGGTTGTTAGTCTTCTACACATTTCTCTATTCTTGTCAATGGTAAAGCAACTGGTTTTTTCAAATGTGCTAGAGGATTAAGACAAGGGAATTCTTTATCACATTTTTTATATACTATGATGGCTGAAAGCTTTAGTGTTATGTTGAATCGATTGGTAGCACGAGGGGTTATATCTAATGTTAATATTGACAATAACAAAAGTATTGTATCACATGTACAGTATGCTGATGATACCATTATTTTTTGCGACCCCCAAGTTAAAGAGATCACCTGCTTATAGATTTTTTTTGAAATGTGTGGAACTTTGAATTGGGCTTAAAGTTAATTTGAACAAGACCAAGCTCATCGGTATTGGCTATATGCAATCAGTTGTTTCAAGAATGACACATCTATTAGGTTGTGGGGTAGAAACTTTACCTTGCACATATTTGGGTATTCCTTTAATGGATTCGAGGCCTTCAATTGCTATTTGGGATCCGGTGGTCGAAATATTCTACAAAAAATTAGACATTTGGAAAGTTAAAACTCTTTCTATGGGGGAAAGATATGCGCTTATTAAATCATCTTTGTTTAAATCTCCCAATTTATTTCATGTCCTTGTTTAAGATGCCAAAAGAAGTTGAAAAAAGATTAGACACAATTATGAGAAACTTTCTGTGGGGAGATGATGAAAGAAGAAAAAGACTTTATTTTGTGAGTTGGGCAAAAGTTTTTACACCTATAAAGGATGGAGAATTGGGTATTAGGAGATTAAAATATATGATTCAGCACTATTAGTAAAATGGTGGTGGAATATTCACACATAACCAGAGTCTTTTTGGGTGCTTGTTTTGATAAATAAATATAGAATAGATTTAAATTATGGTCTCATTAAAAGTCTGAGAAACAAGACAAACTTATCTCGTGTTTGGAAGGATATTGATTATGAGAGATTGTTATATCAAGGCAATTTCAGAAAGTGATAGGGAATAGAGAATCCACACTCTTTTGGTTTGGCAAATGTATTGGAGATTGCCCTTTAAGATACTTATTTTCTGAGGTTTTTTCAAAAGTCTTAAACCCCCTAGCATCTATCAATGAAGTTAGTGGGGGTGATTACGCTAACATTGTTTGGTCCTTTCCTTGCAGGTATAGGAGAGTCATATATAGATTTACAGAGGAATATCAAACATTATTGGATTTGTTGCATGACATATATTTGACTCCAAATGTGGATGATTGTTTCATTTGGGATCTTACTCCTTCTAGTAAATTTTTTAGTAAAGTTAATTTACAATCTCTTATTCTCTGACCCTAGGAGGGAGCTAGATGTTGGTCTCTCTCAAATCAAGAAATTACATGTGCATCTTAAAGTGTCTCAATCTCTTATTATCAATGCCCTGTTGTTAGAAATATTTGGGATTAGGCTCGTCAGTATCTCAATCTCTCATTACTAATGCCCTGGAATGTCAGAGCACTCATTGATCAATGGATCACGCGTGATATCTCAAAGAAGAGAACCATCCTCTAGAGATCTCTTTGAGTTAGCCTTCTTTGGAGTAAGTGGAAAGAAAGAAATAGAAGAGTCTTTGACAATATATGTACAGATTTGTCAACATTAAAATCAAACATCATCGCAGTTGCAGCAAATTGGTTCAATGTCCATAAGAACTGTGGTTTCATTCCTAAGAGTCATATTATCAACAACCCCTTGGTAGTGGCGACTATGGGTATTATTACTGATACTGGTAGTGTGGTTGTTTGAAAACTACCACCTGTAAATTCCTTCAAATTTAATTTTGATGAAAGTTCGCAATCCTGGGATAGCAGACTTTGGAGGAATCATTAGAAATAATTTGAGCCATATTATTTTTTCCGGCATCACAACAGCAAATGAGGCTGAAGCACGAGGATTATTAGAAGGGTTGAAATTGATATCTACTTTGGAAGGAGGCAAGATTATCGAACGGGATTCAGCAAATATTATTGCTTACAGCAAGAGAGAGGCATATACTCCTTGGAGATTAAGGACTATTTTTATCAAATTTGAGATATTTTGTCATGCTCCACAACCATTATTCAACATTGTTACAGGGAGACGAATGCAAATGCCGAAGCCCTCGCCAAAGGAGGAGTTCATGCTCCTTCTTTGTTGGTCACTTTTTTTCAATGATCTTATGTTTTTTTGTACATCTTGTTTTCTTTTTCACCTTTGATTAATGGAAGTTTTACGTTACCTTTCAAAAAAAAAAGAGTGCACATTTACACTATTGGGCAAAAGACCTCTCTTATAATGATTTCTTTTATCTCAAACTTTGAGATCTACTTCGGAAATATCAAATTACCGAGCACTCGCAAAAAAAACAAATTGAATTTTGAGTTATTAAACACTTAGATTTGATTGTCAGGAAGTTTGACTATTTATATTCAATTTCATGACATTATTTTTCAAGAAAAATATAATTTTTATTTTTTGAATTTGTCGAACCACCCCAAAACAAGAGGTCCTAAACATACCCCTAAATAATCTTTTTTTCACCCCGCGTAATAAGCGTAGGATATGCTACCGCAATTAACTTGTAATCGGTTGCCATTACATCTCTTCCTAAAAGTGATTTTAGACTTGAACTTGATTACCAGGTTGCGATGAGTCATACTTTATCATTCTTAAAATTTATTTACAAATTTTTTTAACTAGAGATTAACGACAATAGAAAGAACGTCGAAATTCAAGCACTACCGAACCCATTTGAATGGCCTATCGCAATGTTATCAATAACAAACCAAACTGGCTAAGTCCATTTAGCAACCAACGTTTTGGTTGGTTTGATTCAAAGTAAAAAACCAAATTTGATTGAAATCAATTAATATAATATTTCGAATGATTTAGAGAATTGAATCAGCTAATTTTGACT